CCCGAGGAGGAGAAGAAGGGCGAGAAGATCTACCTGTACATGCACCTCAAGCAGCAGCCCATCTGGTAAAGCCCCGGGATGCTGTCTCCAGCCTGGGGAGGGTTTTTTCCTCCTGGCCACGCATTCCCAGATATCCATAAGTGTCCCCAACAGAGGTGGCCTTGGTGTGGCATGTCCCTTGTGTGGGTGAGGGTGTCTGCAGCCACCAAGGAGCCGATCCAGGGGTGCCCCAGATCTGCTGGGTGGAGTTGTGGAATCCTGGAAGGGATTGGGTTGGGAGGGACCTTAAATCTCATCCCACCCCACCCCTCCATGGGCAGGGACACCTTAAATGAACCCAGGGTGCTCCAAACCTTGTCCAGCCTGGCCTTGGGCACTGCCAGGGATCCAGGGGCAGCCACAGCTGCTCTGGGCACCCTTTGGGCACCYCACCTTAATCCCAAAATCCCAATTGGCCATTCCCAACTCCTCCCTCCCTCCCTGCAGGCACAACCTGCGGTTCTGGAACGCCGCCTTCTTCGACGCCGTGCACTGCGAGCGCAGGAAGAGGTCCCCCACCACCAGGTAGGACACGTCCCTGTGGGGACAAGGACACTCTGTGCCCCCTCCAGCACCCCAGGGTGTTTGTCCCGACAGCCCCAAGCTCAACCGGCCCTGGGGAGGTGTCTGCTCTCTATCCCTGGCTGGAAACCTGCTGGGTTTGGTTTGGTGAGATCCCAAACTGTCAGGATTTGGGAACGTGAYGATTTTCCTGTGCGTTTTGCAGCGTTTTTGGAGGAAAAAGCCCTAGAGGTGTGTTCAGAAATCCCAGCCAGGGCTCGGGCTGTCAGTGCTGAGTTTGCCAGCAGCTCTGGGAGGTGCTGGGTGCAGCCACGGGGGCAGTGCATGGGCGGGTGTCCTGTGTCCCAACTGTCCCCAGGAGGGAAAACCTGCATCCAGCACGGACGAGAGCTGGGCATGGTGGCACTGACAGCCCCGAAAATTGGGATAAAACTCCAGGGAAGGGGTTGCTTTGTCAGGGGGATGTGCCCGGGCATCCCGCAGGGTGCTGGAGTGGGTGAAACACTCTGATGCTCGCTCTTGCTCCACCACGGAGCTGTCCGAGGGCTCCAGCAGCTCCGTCCTCTCCCGAGGGCAATTTCCCTCTCCTGCTGTCTGTGCAGGGCCCTGGAGCTCTGAGCTCTCGGGGTGAAGCCGCCCCTTTCCGGAGCGCTGAGAGCCCTTTGGGAGCAGCCAGCCCCCTCCCCAAATCCCGAGCGGAGCCGCAGCAGCCCTGGTTCTCACCCTGGGATGCTGTGCCAGGCTCAGCTCACAAATCAATCCCTTTTTTCCCCTTTAGCGCTTCCCTTTCCTTCTCCCGAGCGGGCACGGAGGAGCCGATCGAGCAGTAATGTCACCGTAACTGCGTTTGCTTTGATTAAGCCCCAAATTAGCAGCAGCCAATGTCTCCCAAGGACAGACGCCACCGGCAGCTGCTCCCCGCTCCCGCTGCCTTTCCCGATTAATCTGACGGCTGAGCCCGCCTAGCTGATAAAATGAGCTTTGGGAACCGCAGTCTGGAGCATCCTGAGCATCTCGGGGGGGCTGCGAGGTGGCGGTGACACCYCCCGAGTGCTCCCGAGGGGATGCAGGACCCCGCAGTGAGCCGGGGGATTGAGATCCCTGCAGGGAGGAGGTGTTTGGGAAATTTGGGTTTGGAATTCCAGGGTGTCCTTGGCCGGGCAGGCGGCTGGAGGGGATGGGGTTGTGGCCATTTCAGTGATGGGGTGACCAGGACATCTCTGGGGTGGCTTCATCCTCCCGGGGCTGCAGCGAGACCTGGGGAGGTTTTGTCTCCTCTGGGAGGGGAGGGCAGGGGAGGGAGGGGAGGGATCAGAACTAAACTCCTCTTTTTCTCTCTCTTTCCTCTCTCTCTGCCTCTAACAACTTCTTCCGTCTCTTCTTCTCTCCGTTCCCCTCCATCCCTCTGTCTTGCATGATCTTTTCACGCACCACTTTTGTCGGCCCCGTTTCTGCCGCCGCTCCAGAGGGAACACTGGGGAGGAAGAGGAGAAGAGGTGTGTCTGTCCCTGTACTTCCTTAGTGTCCACAGGCTGGGGCTCGCTCCAGGTCCACATCCTGCCCTGGGGAGGGGTGGGAATGTGTTTGGGGGGCTCTGGAGGGCTCTTTCTCCACGGAGAAAGAATTACTGGTGGAGCTTTGAGTGTGAGCATCACCCTCCCAAAGGGCCAGAGGGGTTTGCGTTRGCTCCTCTTTCATGTGGTTGTTAAAAAGGAGCCTGGATGGTTTCAAGCTGCGATATTTTGCCGGGAACATCCCTCTGGGCAGGTTTTGGACATGAACTGAGTCTCTTTGTGTAGAAAGCATCCCCCTCTCCCGTCCTTCCCGCTTGCTCCTGGCTTCTGCTGCCACTTAAGAGGTGCTGGGGATCCTCTGCCAGCTGGAAAAGCTGGTCCTTTTCCATTCCTTAATGCACTTCTCTGCTGCCATCCCTTCACAAAATTAAAAATGCAAATGGGGGGCTGCATGTCACGGTCGGGAGTGTGTCCTCGGGGTCACATCCAAGCTGGCGGTGGGACAGGGGGACAGCCAGCACTTTCCTGCTGGAATGAGGGATTTGGGAGCACATCCCACTGAGGGATGGCATTAGGAARGGGATGAGGGCTCTTGGAAGCCTGGCAGTGACTCTTCTGTGTGGCTGAGGAATGTCCTGGCAAAGGGAAGATGTAAATATTGCTCACTGCTGGGGTTTGCTGTGCAGGGAAATGCTGCTGCTGGAACAGGAAAGAGTCGGTTGAGAGTTCTCCCCACTTCCAGGCACAGCCAGGCTTTCCTGGACACCCCAAAACACAACCCCACAGCCGAGGGGGTTCCTCATTCCTCACCCCTGTGCCTGTCCCGCTGGGCCAGGGTGAAGATCAAAGGCTTTGAGTGGAGCCACATGTGGGCTTTTCCCCTTCCCAGGCATGTTACTCTCCAGCAATAAGCCAGAAGCACAGCCAAAAATTTTTTTTGGGGCACTTTGATAATTTTTTTTCTCCCTTCTTCCTCCCTCAAAAACATAAAAAGGCAGGGAAAAAAAAAGTTACAAACATGCTTCTTCWGTGAGTGAGCCGGGGGGTCTGTGAAGTTTTGCTTGCAGATTTCAAAGCCCCTGGATTCGATTCTTCCCCTCTCCTTTCAGCCTCTGCATTTGGCTGTGGGTTTTATTTGCTMTCTTAAGCTTTATCTGGGACAAATTTTACCTCCTTTTCTTTAGAAAAGAAATCCCTTTAAACATATTGTGTACATTTCCAGAGCCCTACAAACAATGRGCTGGCGGCTGAAGGCTCAGCTCAGCAGCTTTGTGCACTCGGGTTGGGGTGATYTTGYGGGGTCTGGYTCMCTTTGTGGGGTCAGCCTGGCTGAGCASCCATCCTCTTCCACTTCCAGCCACRCTGGGGCTGATCCAGCCTCCCGGAATTTAGGGTGAGACCCCCTCTATCCCATTTTCCACCCGGCACAGCTCCCCGTTCCTGCTTGGCGTTCCGGCGAGCTACAAGCATCCATTCTCCCCCTGCTGTCTCCTCTTCTTTCTCCTCCATTTTTCTTCTGCCTGTCCCTGTTTTTCCTGCCTTTTCCTCCTCTTACCCTCGGCTGTAACCTCACCTGATTCTCGGGAAGGGGCTGGCTTCACGGTGGAGCTGTAGCGTTYCCATTGTGCATGCCCTGAGCCCGCTGCCATCGCCCCGGTGACATCCCGGTGGCACGGGCTTTGTCACCCCCTTTGGCATGGGGACTCGTGCCACCGCCTGGAGCTGGCTGCAAACCCCCCGAGCCGATCCCCTCGGTCCTTTAGGGCCATGCTGCAGCTGCGGGGAGCCGGAGAGGAGCCGGGGCATCCTCGGGGGATTTTATCCCGTCTGGCCCGGGAAGGGACGGGGGGGAGGGCTGTGGGAGCCCCCGCCCGCTCGGAGGGGGAGGTACGTTTGGGCAGCGGCTTGGTGGGGATTCGGGGAGCYGGAGCCTTGCTGCAGATGAGGGACAGGTGCCTGGTGTCGCCTCTGTCACCCTCCCGGGCTGGGGGCCCGGTGTCCCCACTGTCACCCATCCCCTGCTCGGTCCTCATGCCCACGGGGACACCGAAGGTGAGCTCCGTGCTGGACGGTTCAGCGCTACTTTTAGCTCTTAGTCAGGGCTTTTCCAGGCGAAGCCAAAGCTGAATGAGGTTTTTCCTGGAGCATCTCTTGCTTTGCCCCAGGGCAAGAGCTCTGCGGACGGATTGGTGTCATGAACTCATCCAACACCCAGCACCGCACCCGGGGGCTCTSGGTGCCCTCCTGTCCTCCAGCAACGCGGCCCGGGGTGGGATGAAGCAGCAAGGGGCTCCTGGGGTGACAGCGGTGGCAGAGTGGTGCCAATCTGGCTCGTCCCTTGCAGGGAGAAGTGGTGCCACATGACGCAGGAGGAGCGCGACGACAGCCTGCGCTTCA